TCAGTTCGCTTATCTTCCATCCTGCCTGCAGTGTGTTTCTTTTGCACAAAGCTGGAGGCATTATCATTCAAAGGCGCCATTTTTTTCCCTGTGTGTGTGTGTGTGTGTGTGTGTGTGTGTGTGTGTGTGTGTGTAGCTGCTCTGTCCAAAGTGCAGCTCCAAGCTTGGTTCGTTCAGCTGGTGTGGGGACCAGTGTTCCTGCGGTCGCTGGGTCACACCCGCCTTCCAGCTGCATCGCAACAGAGTGGACGAAATTCGACAACTCAACGCGCAGAACTGACACACACACACAATTCAAAAACTCATACACACAAGTCTCGATTCATGGTGCACAAAATTAGAATTTACTAATCATGATAAGAGTTCAGAGACAATGACTTAAATAACTGTTTACATTGTGTAATAAGATTTGTTAAATATTGCACATAATGTAGTTTTTCCCCTAGGACATTGGTCTTGGCGGGAGATGGGGGGTGCTTGTTTTATAAAAACATAAATTTACGTGACTCACCTGCAATTATGGTAATAATTTTAAATATACATGAATATTTAATTGCCTAACTACATCCTAGTTAAGGACTCCTCATGATAATTATCAATAAAATTCTTATTGATAATAAGTGATTAGAACTGTGTGCAGCAGATGATCTGAGTCCAGAGTTCTCAGTTTGAAACCTCCTCTTATCTGATGCTGCAGCACCACCTGCTGTCCAAACTAAGTCTAACAGCTGGTTTAAATGAAAAGTCTGCTCTTTTTCTCCCTCAGTGCTGTGAAACTTCTAGTTACTGCCAGGTTTTAAACAGTCAAAGAACAATGTCAACATTTAAAGGTTACTAAAAACATGAAAACATTTAAATATACATACAGTTTATAAAGTTATTTACATGGTGATTCATTTTTTTCCAGGTGTTGACAAATAATATATCTACTAATATTTGAGAAGCCACAAAGCTTTGGACAGATGAAACAAATCCTGACTTTTTTCGTCAAGTCACATCAACTCTGTCATAGATCCAAAAATGAAGCATGCAAATAAAAGGACAAAGTGAAACAGACACAGTTTTGTGGTGTTTTGAGGCTGTTTTGCTCCATTTGGCACAAGGTGTCTTGAATCTATGTAAAATCTCAAGACTATCAAGGCATTCTGGAGTGACATGTGCTTCCTGGTGTCAGAACGTGTGGTCTCAGTTGCAGTTTCAGGGTCCTTTTAACAGGACAATGACCCAAAACAGAGTTACAAACGTCCAAGAAAATCGTAAAACACTGCACTATAATAACAAAAAAAGTCCTTCTAAACTCTAATCTAAGTCCTGTCTGGAGCCAGCTGGTGAATCTGTACAGATGTTTAGAGCTTAGAGCGTTTGGCAGCTGCTTACGTTCTGCAGCTGTCCTCAGGGATCTTCTGCTCCAACCTGCTTTATACTCCTGGATCTGACTCACTGCAAACATCAGATCTGCTGCTCGATGTCTCAGTGTCTTTTCTTCAACAGATTTATCAGCACAGTGAAGATCTCGCTGCTCTTCCTCTCTGCAGCATCAACAGAGCGGTTCATGCTGCAGAATTATCTCATTTCTCTTTTTGTCCTGGGCTGTTGGCAGGACGAAAAGAGAAAGGTAGCAAGACTCCATTCTGCTGTGTTTTTCTCTTCAGGCAGTAATATTTAACCAGGTTATCTACAAAAATAAATCAGTTCTCTTGAGCTTTCACTTTGGTTTAAAGTTACAGTTAGTGGTAAGGCACCAAAACAGTGCTTTTGAGACTGAAGCTGTTTTAAGATACATCTTCAGTCTGATCTCAGATTTTTTTCCCTCCTAAATAAGGTTGTTCAAAGAGCTATCTACAGCAGGTAAGTTATTGATTGTTCGTTACCTTTCTATGGAACACCACTTGAAAAAAATCTGAGCTATCCCATTAGCTGAACTCTAACTTGCAGTAACATATAATGACCACTTGGTGTCAGAAAAACTCCATTAAAACATCTGGACTTGATGCAACTGACTGGAGCTTCTGCCTTCTCAAGCACTCACTTTTTTTTGTATGGTTTTTATTCTGACCCGAACATATTTCACTAATATGGTTCCTGATTCATAAAGCACATTATAAAGAAAGTTTCTAATATAGTCTGACCTTTAGCCACACCTCCATGCAGTATCCCTGTGATGCAGTTCTTGCAGCTGCACAATGATTAAAATTCTGCAGCCTGTAGTATACTAATTTACACAAATATCRCACAGCTTTACACATTTGTACTTTTTAATTGTGTTTTTTACTATATATAACTGATAATAAGAACATTATTATCCTACTGGTGAGTGTTGCTTTTATTTTTACTGATCTGTGAGAATAATGTATAAAGTGCAGCTAATGTTTTATGAAGTGAGACAGTTCTGTTTGCAGAAACAGAAGTGTTGGTGAAATCTGACGACGCTCTCAGGGTTGTGCTGCTGAATATCTGCAGCAGAGTGTGCTCTAACAAAGCTGACACTGAATCATTACAGTAATAAAAGACAAATGATTCAGACACCAGATGTAGCTGGAAATAGAAAATGAGTGATTTCTCTCTTTGCTGTCACAATCATGACAAAAAGCCTGAATCTTCCTCTGGGTGGGCACACTGAGGGTTCTCCAGTCTGTAAGGAGAAATCATCACTCATCATTTTGTAGAAATGGAAATATACATTAACATTTAAAAAATGATTGTGATGAGATGGGGATGGTTTCAGAAGGGAAAACTTTTCCATAAGGTTGAGTTTTTTACATGACATTAGAAGCTGCACATCTGTGACATTCACTGAGCAGAGATCACTTTAACACTGCAATCATTAAACACACAACTGAGTAACAAAAAGACTAACATGAATTTTATTGTCTTATTTAGAAGTCAATAGATTAATTTTTTATTGCTTATATACCTGCTCTGTCATGAGTAATTTTGCAATTTATCAACTTCTGAACCCATTCCTTTGTCTCTTATTGTTCATTAGTTTAGGTGTTGGAGTAGAGGGTCTTCATGAGCTGGCTTGAAAATAAAAAAATTAAATAAAGGCAATCTATAACTAGACATGGGTTTTTACGATGTAAAAACAAGTGTGCATTGCCATGTAGCATGGCTTTGCCTGCAGCAATGGACTTGCAGAATGAACTTTGACCAAGTTTAAATGTGTTTTCTATACCAGCTTGTGCCTGTCACATCAGCGGGTGTTTGTAATTAAGGTAATTGTGTGACAATATGAAATTTGAAGAGATTTTTTGTTAAAGTTGCATAAGCTGAGTTTTGAACCCAGATCTCCCACATGAAAGTCAATGACATAGACCATTAGACCAATGGAGCTGTGACAGAAGATGGTGGCAGGGGTTGGTTTGTATGTGTGCCGAAAGAGGCCACATTGCCAATACAATTATTGACACAMAAATGCATAATATTACAACAACAGAGCAGTATTAAGACAATATTATAGTAAAACATCAAAATACAATCATATCAGTACTGTAAACACTGAACTACTGAGTTGAAATATTGAACTATGGTGCAGTACCAAGTTGAGTACAGCATGGGGCAGTATTGGACCAATACAAGGTTCCATTGACTGCCATTTTAATTTATTAAACATTAATATTTCAAAAACTACAAGTTTTACAGGCACCAAAAAGGCATAGCCATCATTTGGCACAGGAGCTTTACAGATATAAATTACAATGGCAGCTCTAGGACAAAGTATGCAGGAGGAGAAACATGCCAAAGTTGAGATGACTTGGATGGGAAACGAATCACAATAGTGTGCATTGCCAATGCAATGCACACTGATTAGCAAGACAACCAACAGAAGCTAAAAGTAGCAAAAGGATAGCTAAAAGGAAAAAGTAGCAAAACACCAGATAAAAGCAGCAAAAGTTAGCTAAAAGCTAGAAGTAGCAACAGAAAAAGTACTAGCTTCATGTAGTAAAGAATTAGTAGGAAAGTAATATTTGGATTTGAAATATGATTATTTCCATTAAATACTCTTTTAGAGCTTTTTGTTCCTCTTGCTTTTTAAAAAACAAACTTGACTCTAAAATCCCTGTGGTAATGAAAAAAGCTCAGATTATTGCAGCAGCTATACCTGCATCAGACTAGAATGAGCCACTTCCTGAGCTCTGATCCAATGAAAGGAGCTCCAGGAGAAAAAGAGACTCAGTGGAGGATGTGAGTCACGTTCAGACCCCTGACCTTGTTCCTCTGATAGTCTCTGGGCACCGGCTCATGGGAAAACCAGGGAGGATTTCTGCTTACAAAGTCCTCAGCCGTAATGTGCCGCTCTTATTAGGGTTTACAGGAAAAGGTGATTATCTCAGGCTGTGGCTTTTGGCGATATTTAAAAGCCTGTTTTTGGCTGCGAAGTGGAAGAGTTGGTTGGAGCTGCAGATTGATGCAAGAACTCTTTCAGCCTGTTGTATTTGTGTCTGTTCTCACTTTCTGACTTTAAACTACATGCACTAAAGGAAAATTATTTTCTAATGTGTGTGACTGAATCATGATTTAATGCACCAGTCTTCAAATATTTCATACTTTCATCCTATTAGCTGTCTAAGCTGCACGTGTTTTTATGCCATCAGAAGCCAGCAGCATTATTTCTGTCAGATGCTCTGAGTACCAAACCAGATGTTGAAGCCTGATCTCTGGTTTACACATTAGTTCTGCTTCCTTTTGTTCTTCCTCCTCCTCCTCTCATCTTCTACTTCCTCTCTCCTGGACAATTTTTTTTAAATTTCGGTTGTCTGTGTTTGCTTTTTTTTCCTCATCGTTCATATTTTCTTACAAGTTGGCCCTCTTAAAAAAGCACCAAAGGTCTGCCTCAAAACTGAGACATTAGCAACCAAAGACTTTCAAAATAAAGACTACAAAAAGTGAAAAAGACTTGTGAAAGTATCAGGTGCACCTCAAAGTTAACACCTTATACTATTGTTCCAGGATTTTTCAGAAATATTTTTATGTAGCCGTAAATCTCAGGAAGAATTAATGCGTGCCGTGCAGAATGAGAGCTACATCTGRTACAGCTGCAGGACGACTCTGTTTAACTGGACCGGAATCAATTTGTCTGCTTTAAAAACAGGTTTTATAAAACATTTTAAAAATCTGTTTACAAGAAACTCAGAAAGTAATCATTAGAAGAATATCTAAAATTAGTGTTAGGAGTCAAATCAATTCAAGATGGCCACAGCAGAGTTCCTGAGCACTAACACACCTCAGGTGAGCACATGATATCACATGATCTGTGATTTTTACACACATATTTTTATGAATACTTTGGCTAAACCCCCTCTATGAACACCTTAAAATAAGGGTAAACTCCTTGTTAATAAAACAATTCCTGACAATTGTAAAATGACAGAACTCTGAAGTGGTGATGACAACATTTTGTAAAAAAACAAAACAAAACACAAGATTTGCTCAATTTTATGGCCCCATCACACAAAGCTGCAGCTGAAGAGCCCACACCTGGTTCTGGTCATGTTTGGCTGCATCTGTGGAACAAATCTGTAAAAGCTTTTAGTGAGTGTGGACCAAGCTTTCTGTGGAGTTAAGTTACTGGATGCTCATCTATAACCAACAAATCAAGGCACAGAAATAAACAAAATAAATGATCAATGCCTGAATTGTTTGCCCACCTAAAGCCTGATATTAAAACAACTTCCAATGAATAAATGCCAGACTCTAAATGAAATCTCAAGTGTTACAGTTATATCATATACAAATGTATGAATTTACATCCAGCTATAATTGTGTGGTGGCAGATGGTTTTTCATGTATCTTGTAGAATTCAAAACAATTTAGAGCAAAATTAAATTATTTTTGTTTATATCCGCTGATGAAACCCTACTGTCAGTTCTGAGTTTTATTTGTTTACTTGATCCTCTTTGTTTTCTCTGACATCTGATTTTTAATCTTTATCACTTCAGTTCAATTATTTTTTCTTCCTGTGTGTTTAAATCCTGATTTCTCTTTAAACACAAAGAAAGAGTAAAAATCAATCAGTTCTTTTTATGCAGCTAAATATAAACGACATCTGAGTCGCCAGAGAACCAGATGATCCCTGTGATCTTTTTCCATTTTCGTCTTTAACCATTTTCTTTGTTCAGATTTAGCTCAGTGCCAGTCAGGAATGTGTGTTTGGATACAGCTGCTATCTTAAAACCAGTGCTGTGAAGCAGATGTATCGCTTCTGTAAAGGACAGATGGCAAAACAACATGGATTTTAGTGTGTGTGTGTGTGTGTGTGTGTGTGTGTGTGTGTGTGTGTGTGTGTGTGTGTGTGTGTGTGTGTG